ATGAGTTAGCTTTAGACCTTTGACCTTAAAGTGGTTTTGGTTTTCAGAACACGCTTGTTGGTTCCCTCACACTGTGGCAGGAAGGTTGCAGGTTAAAGTGTCCACTTAACCCATCTGCTTTGTTTGCTGCTCTGTGAAAATCTCCTGACTCACATCGTTCCTCTTTTCTTTTTCTTTTTAAATATTCTGCAGAACTTTGACTTCCCTCTGCCCAGCCCCATGCGGGTGTTTGAGATGGTGGTGTCGCCCCAGCAGGAGTACCCACTTGTGTGTATCGGGGTGTCTCGGGGGTCCAGCCCCAACATCCCGGTCGTTGTAGAGTACATCAACCTGAACTCCAACACGTCCTGGTTCACCAAATCTGGTCTAGGTAGGCTGTTACTGCATCATGGGGTCCATCACCAACACTTCAGAATCAATAGAAAATGTGTTTATCGCCTTTTGCACCAGTTCAGTACCCCTCCCCAAAATTCACAGGAAATTTACACTGTGCAAAATAAGACACACTTTTTAATGCAAAAGGAGAAACTGTTTAGAAGTACAATAATTAAATGTAAGTTCTCTTGTCCTGAGGATTTTGTACATCTATTATTACACCTGAGATATTTCTGTTATCTGTTATTGCACTTTACATCTTTGCAATATTTTTTAAGCTGCTATAAACAAAACACCACACTCCACACTCCCAGAAAATCAAGTCGTATACACTGTGTTGTTGTTGTTGCTGTTGTTGTTGTTGCTGATGGTGATCTGTTTTTGTGTCCTTACAGAGAAACCTTGTCCAGATGTAGTTCAAGTAAACCAACTGGACTCTAGTTCGCTGCTCGTCCTGTTAGACAGTAAGTCACATGAGGCTCCTCTCATAAGTCATGAATACTAAAACATTTGAATTATGATATTTATTTGAACATAACACAAATATCTCGATATTCTAAAGGATTACACATGATTACAATGAACTGCTCTCTCCCTCTCTCTCTCTCTCTCTCTCTCTCTCTCTCTCTCTCTCTCTCACATTAAAAGAGATTCTCTGTTGCATGAATCATATGTTGGGTTGCATCAGAATCTACAGGTGTTAATGTGTTCACTCCCCCCCGCTATAGATCAGTAAATCATGGAGTTAACATGTCGAGAAGGAGTAACCGGGTAGAAAATAATGCAGCAGCTTCTCGTCTTTGGTCTTGTTATCTCGGGATAGCAACGCTGGACTTCCCATCATAACAAGTTTCTCCAGATCTCGATTAAACGGCTGGAATTAAGTAGTTTTCATAGGAAAGCCTGTGTTGTTATGTGGAGATGAAGAGATTCATGAGTTTAGATCTCAATAAAATAAAATAAATGATCATGAGTAAACAAAGGTAGTGTCAGCTTAGGGCTTCAGTATTATGGTACAACTAGTGACAAAAAAGACGATTTTCGAGGACATTAATGTGATCTGACTTGGTGGGTAACAAGGTGACAAGGTTTTTTTTGGGGGGGGGCTTTTGCCTTCATTGGATAAGACAGCTGAAGAGAGACAGGAAATGTGGGGAGGAGAGAGAGGGGGATGACGTGCAGCAAGTGGCCAAGTTCGGATTTGAAACCCACGGCCGGTGCAATAAGGACTACATCCTGTGTACACGGGGCGATCAACACAACAGCTAGTCTACCCAACCCCGAGGGCTTTTTTTAAAAGAGGCAGACATAACAATAGTTTTCATTCTATTGCTTCAATTTTAAAATATTAAGCTCAAAGTTTCAACCACAGACTGTACGGTTTCAACAAAAATTTAAGCAAGCTTTTTGAAAAGGTGCAAACACTAAATGCAGATAAATTCCATTTCAATCAGCTGGTTTATCCAGAGTGAAGTGAAGTCTTATTGCAAAGTTTAGATCCGTCAGGATTCGGCTGTTAAAGCTGCTCTTTGTGCGTGGCTTCAATCCAATCAAGCAGAAGAAGTAGATGCTGCAACCTTGAAATAAAACAAGTTGTTTTGGCATCTGGCCCATTTTAAAGATTTGGATCTGTGGATTCACTTTACATAAAAGCGTCTGCAAAGTGAATTGTAGAATTTTAAAGAGCAAAAAGCAGACAATAAGGATTTTCTTTCTTAAGCTATTCCCATATTTGATGCTGCCTTGAGACAAAATGCTATTAAAATCCTCATTTGGGCAAATGTTTCCTCTTCATCTGGTCATCATTTTGTCTGTGTTAGTGCATATGGCACCATTTTTTATAAGAAAGCCTCTCTCTTGACACATTTTGGAATGCACATTTTATTTTTTTAATAGATCAATAGAACACTGTGAAACATTTGTACTAACCTCTTAAGTCACTAAGGACAAAAATGTGAGAATCATGTAATCAAACTGGCATTTAAAGGGTTAAATTCCTCATAATTATTCAATGTTTGGTAGTTTTGAGCAGGTCTGGAGTTGTTTAAGAGATGTACGCAGAAAAAAGTAGAAAAAAATATCAATCTGTTCTATTTTTATATCAGTTTTTTGGAAGTGAACATTTTTGTCCTTAGTAGTAAATTAAACTGATGCCTGAGGGTTAATACTGTACAATATTAGTAATGCTGCTCAGTGGACTCCCCACTGACCTCTCTGCTGACCTCTCTTCTTTACAGAGTCAGTTCATATAGTCGGACTGGAGGGGGAGCTGAAGAGCAACAAGCCTCTGCAACATGAGACCTTCACTCAAAATGTGGATTCTATAGGTGAGATTATCCAGAAACAAACTACAGGTGTGTTGTGTTGAATATCACTTTGGGGGGCTCAGCTTTGACTCTGTGTCTCTCTTCCTGTCCGTCAGTGTATTTTGAGGACTCACTGCTGATGGTGTGGCGTCACGGCTGGCAGAGGAGAGGACGGAGTTTCTCTGAGCTTCTGGAGGAAACCACCGACCCGAGGAAAATCTACAGACTGGTTCACTCAGACAGGTACGACTTCACTCACTGGTGTGGTGGCTGTGATGATGTTGATAAAAACAGCTGTGCACCTTTTGTACATTTTTATTTTTTATATATTTTATATTTTACATTTTTAAATTCTATATATATATATATATATATATATAATTTTTTACATATATTTTATATTTACATTTTTAAACTCTATTTTATATATTGTAATAGCTTCTTATTCTGTATTATTTAAGTTGTTGCTCGTTCTGCTTTATTTCCTTGTTAATTGTTTAGCACCAATACACCAAGTCAATTCCTTGTATGTGTAAATGTACTTAGCAATAAACCCGATTCTGATTCTGATTCTGATTCTCATTCTCATTCTCATGTCTGAAATGTCTGAAATGTCTGCAACTAAATGCATTCATGCATTCGTTCTGATTTTAATTGGGTTGATTCAGGTTTAATTCTCTTTCCTTTTTTACCCTCGTGCAGGATGGTCATCTTGGAGACGCGTCAGCTGGACGACCAGACGGGGCTGTCCAACCTCTACGTCCTGGAAATAGCTGAGAACTACGTCATGCTGCCATGATTCTGCTGCCACAAGGTATCATGGGAAAACTCCCTAAACACCTCCTCTACTTCATGGATGCCTCCACCCAGGACTTTTCATCTGTCATCATGACGGACGAGGATTCATCACTGCCACAGAATTTAATTTGGATTTAATAGCAGAGGAGAAGGACAAAGATGGCAGCTTGTTGTGCTGCAGCCCTTATCTCCCAAATCTGCTTTTATTTATGCTGATTTTTGTTTGTGGCATCGCAAAGAATAATCCAGAACACAGACAACTGAGAAAATAAAGACAGAAAAGATGGATGGCTCGTCTCTGATCTACCTTCTTCTGTGAAATACTGTTGATGCAGAGCTGCCTGCTGAGATATACAGCATGGCTTCCTGAATGTGCAGCATTCAACATAAAAGGACTTAAACCGCACTGCTCTGTCCCACGCTGTGTCACCTTATATGTCATTGTTGGATCAGAGTTACAAACTTGTGATGTCTGCCATTACACTGTAATAAAGTGAATCAACACAAGATGATGTGAACTGTATTCATCCTGGGCAGAAACAGAGCAAACGAGCTACCATCAATGAAAGCTAGTTAAAGGAGATTATTTGGTCCTGTACAGACTGTATTTAACGTGCAAAAACTGTGTCATACTCATCCTGGACTGATCAATGTAAAAGTAAACTTTTTAATAATAAATGAATCCATGCCAAAGAAAGTCCCTGTTAGCTTTACAGAAGCATGAAGATGATGGAAAACAACACGTCTGAATTTAAAGCAAACACAAACACGCTGTAATATTTACATTCTGCTTCAGGAGATTTTATTTGAGTTTCATTATTTAGGAAATCTTTTGTTTTGATATTTCACAACTCAATAAAGCCTGAATGTCAGATGTCTTGAGTTCAGATTTAAACTCTCTCTTTCTCTCTCTCTCGTTGGCCTTTTGTTTAACCATGAAACCCTGACTGAGCTGTTTCTTTATCTATTATTATATAGTTATTTCTTTGTTTATTTATAGATGCCAAATCAGAGTTTTGTCAGTGAAACTTTACGCTCATGAAGAAGGGATTATTAAACTTGCTTATTATTTCTTTAATTGGTCTTGCTGGGTGTCACCAGGAGGTTAAACTAGGGGTAAATGAAGCGAGCTGTTGTGGGGCCGGGCGCCCCCTCTTTATCCCCCCCCCCCCCACACACACACACACACACACACACACACACACACACACACACACATCAGTGGGAGTGCGCAGTGTCAGACCGGGCCAGCAGCAGGAGCGACGCATCATCATCTCACGTCTTTACGCACACTGGATGGACGGAGGCAGGCAGAGACCCCGGTCGAGGATGATGCTCACACCGGCTCAGGAGGGCTCTTTCTCGGGGTTTCTTTATCAGGTGCCGGTGGTTTGATCGCCGGTGCTGCTGGTGTAAAATGCCCTGGAGGAGCCCGGATGTGCTGGTCGGCCTAGCTGAGCTCGGCTGCTGCTGCTCGCCATCATCATCGCCTCTCCCATTTCTATTCTAGTATTTTTTTTTTTATTATTATTGTAGCGTTTTTATTTCCAGGTCAGAAACCTCAGTTTCCTGTGCGGCTTGTGTGCACTAAAGATGGCCGGAGATGGCGGCGCTCTGAAGGATATCAATGAGATTAAATCCCAGTTTCGGACCAGAGAGGGCTTCTACAAGCTGCTCACCCTCTCGGACTCGCAGCAGCGGGGCGGCCTGCCGCGGGGTCCGTCCTCCGGAGCCACGCTGGGCCCAGGGGCTGGACCCGGTCCGATACCCGGCGGAGGGGTCGGGCTGCTGCAGGGGCCCGGGGCTGCAGCCGCCGCCGCCGCCGCTGCCGCTGCCGCCGCCGCCGCCTCCTCCTCCAATGCCGCAGCCAACTCCTCTCCTGCGGGCTTCCTGCCGCCGGTCCGGGTCTCCATGGTCAAGCTGCAACCCGAAGACCCGAGCGAGGAGTCGGAGCGGGTGTGCTTCAACATCGGCAGGGAGCTTTATTTCTACACGTACACCAACATCAAGAAGGTGAGCCCGTTCTCTCTCTCTCTCTCTCTCTCTCTCTCTCTCTCCTCTCACTGGAGGGTCAGTGTGTTAGCTTAGCATGATAGCTTGTATTTCGTCATCTTTTTTCAAACAGGGCTGCAAATGCTGCACACATTTGACCCAGCCTGCACATTTTCTACGTGTCACACACAATCTGAGGTGGATGGATGCTAGTTTAGCTGAGTGGGATGATGGTGCATCATGCTGGAGGATGCACAAGTCAGTGGAGAGGCTACAGGAGGTAACAGTGTTACTACAGGAGCAGGAAGCAGACAGGGAGGCTTCAGTCACAGCTTTTACCCATGAAATCACCTTAACTAAGTCATTTTTTTTATCATTTGTTTCAGTTTCTTTCTTTCTGCATGTCAAAGATAGTAAGATTTGTGAATCAGTGATCAGCAGGTGGGTAACAAAGATTTTAAATCTGGAGATCTGCAACATGTCACTGCATCTTCCTCTCTTCTGTCCCTTCATGGACTTTAAAAGTTAAAATCAAGTGTTGTTCAAATGTTACTTCTAACAGGTCTTAAATCATGAACCTGATGTTTTATTACCACAGGATAAGCAGTACAATAACAATCTGTGTTTGTTCGTCCTCCAGTGTCTCCTTACAGAGCTCATTTGAAGCATTGCTGGATTTCACTGAGGATTTGTAGAGAGCTGAAATTGCTCGCAGCGAGCTGCTCCACTCTCCTCTTAATGAGAAATACTAATAACCCATTTAGCAGGAACTGGAGGACAAACGTAAAAGAAAAAGCTTCACCTCCTTTTGACCTGACATCAATCTAGTGAGGGACATGACATCATTTCAATGTGTCAAAGCTGGCCTGTTGTTGTGCATGGACTGTAATCATTTGTACAATCATTTTCTGTGTCATACAAAGAAAAAACTGCATGATTAAATACAGATACATAATTCATCTTTTTAAGTTTATACAGTAATCAGTGACTCGCACTATGTTTTAGCTGGAGACTGATGCATCAATAAACTATATTCATATTTAGTCAGTTTTAGTTTTCAGGCAGCTTCACACGTTGTAAATTAAACTCCAATGTTTTCATTTTGTTGAAACTTTCTTAAAACAGGAAGTCTGATGAGATTATAATCTATTCATTGCAGAAGCAGTTAGTGTAAAATATAACCCTATAAGTCCAGGGCTTCATACGTCTCTTTACAGAGAAACCTGAGGAGAGATGATGTCATTAAAGTTTGTCTCTAACAGAGGTGAAATACATCTTCTGTGTGTTTGAGTTTTGAATCACAGGCTTGATGTTTCTCCTCGTTCCTTCAAAAATGATAAACTGAACACAAAGACAAACTCTCTTCATTCAAACACCAAACTCTTTAACACTAGAAGTAATGTGTAGATCAGTGGTTCCAACATTGGTTGTACCTGGCCCCCCCTCTGTGTAAATGAAAATGATGTAACCCCCTCAAACCCAAGCCCCTAAATAAATAAAAACAAGCTCAGTTTGCAGAGGGGACATTTAAAAGTGACACAGCATAATGCATCTTCCAAAATGTTGAACATGCAGCATTCATTACTCTGATGTGAGCTCTTCAAGGCGTCTTAGCTTGGAGCTAACATTTGAGGGACCCCCCCCGCTGTGGTCTCTCCATGACCCACCTTTGTGCAGGTGAAGCAGGGTGAGATATGACTCGACGTATTTTCTCGTTTCTTTAGTTGTTGATGAAGATGAATCGTCAACAGTCCTTTCATAAAGTTGAACATTCTTTGCTTGCCCTGCAGAACAGAGTGCATTGTTTTTATTTAGCACGGCTGCACCCGCCCCCCTGACGTAAATCTTTGCCCTCCTTAGGGGGGTTGCGGCACATGGTTTGGATCTTCCATTTAGTAGACGCTCCCACAGATCAGCTGACAGGACAGAAGACCTCGACACCAGAAAAATCACAAGTGATCCTGAATATTATTCAACCACATCGGGAGCTTTAGTTTCTGCTGCTCATTTCTCTTTAGACCTCATTCAGATTCTTTCCTTTTGATTGATTTAAACTTATCATTTATAAACCAATCGTCTGTTCAGCTGATATTCCAACAGAACTAGACGTGGACTGACCTCATCTTAGTGCTTTAGAGTTGATTTAAAAACTCTCCCTGAAGCGTCCAGCCTGTTAAAGTCTTTCTATGTGATTTTTCACACTTAAATGTAGAAATCAAGTATATCCTCTGAAAATAACTCTGTGAGTCATGACTGTCTACAATGGGTGTAACACCCGAGTCCCACTGTCTGTGATGTTTTCAGAGTTTTCAGAGTCCTATCTTCAGTTTGTTTACATCGCCAGGACGGCCGGCTGACTCCTCCCCTCGTGTATAAAAGTTGTTTAATTGAGGGACTAGAGAAAAGAAGAATAACATACTGTACTCACTGCTTAACTGTGTTTCTAGATCACGCTCATTTCAGGTAAATTTACATGCAGTCTGAAGATACCAGCAAATAAAGATCGCTAGCATTAGCATGCTAACACAACAATGCAGCGCGAGTTATTTTGGTTTCATGCTGGTGCTCAAGGGCGACACCTGCTGGATCAAAACATCACATATGAAGCCTTTACCTGAAGTGTGTTCGAGGTGTTTGTTTGAATCAGGAACCTCTTCTTATAAATTGACCAACAACTTGATGCTGATCTTTTTCATTTCTTTTAAGAGACGTTGACTTTTTATTGTTTTTAATTTATCTGATAGATATCTTTGTGTCTTCTTAACTTTAATTTGTAATTCTGGTCAGATTTTTGTAACGTACTGATTTTGCATTCCCTTAATACTAAATCACCTCTTTATTTTATTTTTTTAAAATGCCCCTCCTGAACTTTAACCCCTAGAAGAGCTTTTAATGAAGACTTGTCCTCTCAGCTGTTTGGGCCGGCGCTCCCAAAACCCTGGAGCCAATTTCTTCACAACGAGGATTTTAGAGCTACTTCAAAAAGGTTTTATTGCTCGATGTGATGGATGAAGGAAAGACAGAATCTTAAAGCGACATCGACTAAGAATGGGTGTGGATTTGTCACATCTGGTCGATAGCTCATCTGCATAATGAGTAGAGAGAGAGAGAGAGAGAGAGAGAGAGAGAGAGAGAGAGAGAGCTGCTGATGGGGATCTGGTGCGTCTCTCGCGCTGCCCTTCACATCCTGTTTTACATTTAACTCGTTTTCAGTTCTCACTTTAAGCTTTTCTTATTTACACTCGACTTGTTTCAAAGTGTTTCTCAGACTCGAGCTGTGACACTGAGAGAGTAACGTACAGATGAAATGTATTCTTAACTAAAAGACTCATTTGGCAGACTTGCTGAAAACTCATTTTCATATCATCTTCAGTCACTCTGAAATACACTTTTCTTTTTTATTAACCAGCAGCTCATTTTAAAGTAAGAGCTCTGCACGACCTGTTTGGATGTTTGCACATGAAGCTGACTATGAGGAGGTTGTCATACCAGATATTTAATAATAAAAACAGTATTGACTTCTGTTTCGATACCATGGCAACAAAAATATAACTCCAGGCTCCTAATATTTGATCATTTCTTGATTTTAATGACCCAACAGTTGCAAGAAAACTCCTGCACACTCTTAATTGTGTGGGAACGTTGCCAATGTTTTAGTGCAGTTTAGACAGAGCTCTCTCTCTCTATCTCTCTTTCTGTCTCTTTCTCTCTCTCTCTCTCTCTCTCTCTCTCTCTCTCTCTGTCTCTCTCTCTTCATCTCACAGCAGCTTTTAGTCAAAAATCAGTCTGAAGATCTGTCGTTTATACGTTTTGTTACTTTCTTATACTATTGATCATTAAAATAACAGATATAGTTTTTCTTTTTAAACACCTGGTATTAAAAAGTATCAAATCACTGAATATTTAGAAACCAGAGACAATTTAACAAATATGGACGTAAAAGTATGAACCTGTTAAAAGATAATGATATGTTAGTTTATGATGTTTTATTGGGCATGATGGGTATCTTGATTGAAGGCTCATAAACTGGTTACACTTCTGAATGTAAAAGGCAACTCTTGGTCTGCTTCCTCACTATCTGTGTTTTTATCTCATTAAAAAAAGACCCCTCTGTCCTCTGTCCTCTGTCCTGTGTCCTGTGTCCTGTGTCCTCTGTCCTCTGTCCTGTGTCCTCTGTCCTCTGTCCTGTGTCCTGTGTCCTCTGTCCTGTGTCCTGTGTCCTCTGTCCTCTGTCCTGTGTCCTCTGTCCTGTGTCCTGTGTCCTGTGTTCTCTGTCCTCTGTCCTGTGTCCTCTGCCCTCTGTCCTGTGTCCTCTGTCCTCTGTCCTGTGTCCTCTGTCCTCTGTCCTGTGTCCTGTGTCCTGTGTCCTGTGTCCTGTGTCCTCTGTCCTCTGTCCTCTGTCCTCTGTCTTCTGTCCTCTGTCCTGTGTCCTGTGTCCTCTGTCCTGTGTCCTCTGTCCTCTGTCCTGTGTCCTCTGTCCTGTGTCCTGTGTCTTCTGTCCTCTGTCCTGTGTCCTCTGTCCTCTGTCTTCTGTCCTCTGTCCTCTGTCCTGTGTCCTCTGTCCTCTGTCCTGTGTCCTCTGCCTCTGTCCTCTGTCCTGTGTCCTCTGTCCTCTGTCCTCTGTCTTCTGTCCTCTGTCCTGTGTCCTCTGTCCTGTGTCCTGTGTCCTCTGCCCTCTGTCCTCTGTCCTCTGTCCTCTGTCCTAACCCTAGGACAGAAATTGTGAAAAGGGCTTTGAGGTATTCTTCACCCTCAGCCTGGAATCTGTTGCAGAACGACTTCAACTGAAGGAGCTGGTGTCCTTACAGGTTTTTATATGAAAGCCTCAGAAGCGTCTTTCATTTGGATGTCGATGTTTTTTAGCTCGACTGCTCGAACTACTGACTCCAGATTCGACTCAGAGATGGTTCTCTTTTATTACAACACTTTGTGTAAATTGCACTTTGACTCCCTTTTGGTCTCTTGTCTGTAACGTTTGTGTTTCTGCTGCTGCCTGTCTCTCGTCCAGGTCTCCTTTTGGAAAAGAGGTTCTTAATCTCAGAGGGACCGACCTGGTTACATCAAATAAAATACAAATCTCCTGTGCTGTAGTGTTGTATTTATTCCCTGCTTGATTGTGACTTCCTTCCAGCACGATGAGGCCATTGATGAGGCCCTCAGAGATCAGGTGTGACCTCTCAGTGTGATGTCTGTCTGTAGTACACTAACACGAGTGTTTGCAGTTTAGAAATACTGCAGTCATGTCTGATGCTTTCTGGTTCTTCTCTGCTCCCATTGGTTGAGAGCTGTAGTGGTGCTTTTGGATCTGGGTTGATGGATTTCTCCCCGTGTGATTGTTTCAGCACCCACAGCGCCTCCACTCTGACACTAAAAACTCCATGTTTACCATCCATCTGTTACAAAACACGTCTTTTTATTTCTAACACCGCTGCTGGGGAGATCTCTCATTCTGACTTTTTTGTCGTCTGTGCTTGATGATCATTTTATCAGAACAGAAACACAAGACCAATGGAAAAAAAGAGCCTGTCGTGTAAGATATTTGTATTTGTGGTAAATGTTGTTGTGTGGTCTTTGCTTGTAAAGGAATCATGTAGGACAAATAACTCCTCCTTTAAAGTCTTTATATGTGATTTTTCACACTTAAATATGATATAAATCAAGTATCTCCTCTGAAAATAACTCTGTGAGTCCCACTGTCTGTGATGTTTTCAGAGTTTTCAGAGTCCTATCTTCAGTTTGTTTACATCGCCGGGACGGCCGGCTGACTCCTCCCCTCGTGTATAAAAGTTGTTTAATTGAGGGACTATAGAAAAGAAGAATAACATACTGTACTCACTGCTTAACTGTGTTTCTAGATCACGCTCATTTCAGGTAAATTTACATGCAGTGTGAAGATACCAGCATAATAAAGATCGGGGCGACATCTACTGGATCAAAAAATCTCATATAAAGCATTTAAGAAGATCTGAATGTCCTCTTCCTCCCTCTGACTTGTCTCTGTGCAGGCTGTTGATCTCAGTAAACCCATAGACAAAAGAATCTACAAAGGGACGCAGCCGACGTGTCACGACTTCAACCAGTACTCGGCCACGGCGGAGAGCGTCGCTCTGATCGTGGGCTTCTCGGCCGGACAGGTCCAGTACCTGGACCCCATCAAGAAGGAGACCAGTAAACTCTTCAATGAGGAGGTAAGATCGTTCCCCCTCCCCCTTCTTATTAAAGCCTGTCACAGGAGTCATTTATTTTTTTACTAGCTTTGTCGTTTTCACATTCTCTCATTACGACTTCTAATCGTCCTCTTTCTCTTTAATGGGATTCTCAATTAGGTGGGAGACTCCTGGTGTGTGTGTGTGTGTGTGTGTGTGTGTGTGTGTGTGTGTGTGTGTGTGTGTGTGTGTGTGTGTGTGTGTGTGTGTGTGTGTGTGTGTGTGTGTGTGTGTGTGTGTGTGTGTGTGTGTGTGTGTGTGTGTGTGTGTGTGGTGGTGCATGCAGACTGTGTGTTTCTCTGGGATTCCTCTTTTCCTCTCCTCACTCACCCGTTCTGTTTTTTTGTGTCTCTGTTGGTTTCAGTCTGTCCCCACACCGTCTCTGCTGCAGCCGGTCTCCTGGTCTCTGCAGACCCCCCTCCTTCTCCTCCCCCCTCCTCCTCCCCCTCCTCCTTCCCCCCCTCCCCCTCCCCATGTGTCCTTTCTGCGTCGTCGTCCATCACCAGTTTTATATTTAGCTTTTTTTTAAATCACACATTTTGTGAGCACGAGTATTTGTAATATCTTTTATATCTCGACTCATTCTTTGCTTTTTCTCCTCCTCTCTCTTCCTCTTCCTCCTCTTCCTCCTCCTCTCTTCTCCTCCTCTTCCTCTCTCTTCCTCCTCCTCCTCCTCCTCCTCTCTCCTCCTCCTCTCTCTCTTCCTCCTCTCTCCTCCTCCTCTTCCTCTTCATCCTTCTTTCTCCTCTTCCTCTCTCCTCCTCCTCTTCCTCCTCTTCCTCCTCTTCCTCCTCCTCCTCTCTCCTCCTCCTCCTCTTCCTCTCTCTTCCTCCTCCTCTTCCTCCTCTTCCTCCTCCTCCTCCTCCTCCTCTTCCTCCTCTTCCTCCTCCTCCTCCTCCTCCTCCTCTCTCCTCCTCCTCCTCTTCCTCCTCCTCCTCCTCTCTCCTCCTCCTCCTCCTCTCTCTTCCTCCTCCTCCTCCTCCTCCTTCCTGTTCTCCAGAGATTGATAGACAAGTCAAAGGTGACGTGTCTAAAATGGCTTCCGAAGTCGGAGAATCTGTTCCTGGCGTCGCACGCCAGCGGTCACCTCTACCTCTACAACGTGGATCACCCGTGCGGCACCACGGCGCCGCAGTACTCTCTGCTGCGGCAGGGTGAGGGCTTCGCCGTCTACGCCTGCAAAACCAAGACGCCGCGCAACCCCCTGTTACGGTGGGCGGTGGGCGAGGGCGGCTTAAACGAGTTTGCCTTCTCCCCGGACGGCGTGCACGTGGCGTGCGTGGGCCAGGACGGCTGCCTGCGCGTCTTCCACTTCGACTCCATGGAGCTGCAGGGCGTGATGAAGAGCTACTTCGGCGGGCTTCTTTGTGTTTCGTGGAGTCCCGACGGGAAGTATCTCGCCACGGGGGGCGAGGACGACCTGGTTACCGTGTGGTCGTTCGCAGAGAGCCGCGTGGTCGCCAGAGGTCACGGACACAAGTCGTGGGTCAACGTGGTCGCGTTTGACCCTTTCACGACCTCCCTGGAGGACGAGGAGCCGATGGAGCTCAGCGGCAGCGAGGAAGACCTCCACCAGGGGGCGCCGAATAACTCCATGCACTTTGGCCGGGTGAGAACGAGCAGCACGTTGTCGCGTCTTTCTCGCCACAGCTCTAAAGGAGGCGGCTCGGCGTCCGTCACGTACCGGTTCGGCTCGGTGGGACAGGACACGCAATTCTGTCTTTGGGACTTGACGGATGACATTTTATACCCTCGCCTGCCGCTGACCCGCGCCTTCACTAACACTTTCGGGCCCTCGCTGTCCAACTCGGGCAGCGTGGCGGTCAACAGCACCTCAGTCGTGGGTGGAGGGACCGGAGGGGTGGAGGGGCACCATCACCCGCCCAACACTAACACGGGCACCGCCAACCCCCCGACCCTCCCCCTGCCGCTCCCTCGCTCGCTTTCTCGCTCCAACTCTCTGCCCCACCCCGCCGTGGCGAACGCCTCCAAAGGTCAGGGCGCGACAGAGGGCGGCACGGGAGGCGGAGGAGGCGGAGGAGGCGGGAGCAGCAATGTAGGAAACAGCACGCCGTTTAGCATCGGCCGCTTCGCCACGCTGTCTCTGCAGGAGCGCAAGTCGGACAAGTCGGGCTCCGGCAGCGGCGTGGAGAAGGAGCACAAGCGGTACCACAGCTTGGGAAACATCAGCAAGAGCAACGACAAGATCAACGTGGCGCCGAGGAGCAACCGGCTGGACGCCGCCAAGGTCCTGGGCACCACGCTGTGCCCGCGCATGCACGAGGTGCCGCTGCTGGAGCCGCTAGTGTGCAAGAAGATCGCACACGAGCGGCTCACCGTCCTCGTGTTCATGGACGACTGCATCATCACGGCGTGCCAAGAGGGGCTCATCTGCACCTGGGCGCGGCCGGGGAAGGCGGTACGTCTAAAACTTTCTATTTTTTTAAACTTTTAAATGTTATCAGTTGACTGAGGAAATCAGAAATACTTTCTTAAACCCAGGAGGGGAAATCAGGAAGCATCACAAACATCACATGATGAGACTTCATGATTTACTCAGATTATCGAGGCAGCAGAGAGGCGCACCCCCTCACATGACCGCTCGTAAACAATGGAGCCGGGGGTTAGATTTGCAAAAACACAAAAACTAGTTTGGATGAAAAAATGTCTGGAGTTTCATCCTGCTGCCAGTTGTTCTCTTGTCCTCCCTCGTCTCTCTCGTGGTTATTGTAGTCAGGCGCAAAACTTCTGCCAGACTCTTTCATGACAGAATGGTCAAAATTTTAAAGGGAACATATTCAGAAAAATCCACTTCTACAGTGTTTGGTAACTTGAGAGTCTACTGACCCACAACATGTGAAATAAACCCATCCAGTCCTTTGTTTGTGGTCTGCATAAGTCTTACAACACAGAAACAATGCTCTGTGTGCTCTCCTTGTGATGTCACAGTGGGATTCTGGTAAAATAAAAAAATCCCCTCCCCTCCCCTGGTATCTCCACCCATGGACTCCACCCCCAACATAGAACAAACCTTTTGCAGGTCGCCATTTTTATTCTCTCTACAGAGGAGTGATGTCTACTGGGAAAACTCCGGGCGGGCTCATTGCATTTAAAGAGACACACACACCAAAACGGAGCATTCTGAGAGAGCTGGTTTATACAGGGTCACAAACCTCCTCTGGTGCTTGACTCATGTTATATTTTGACCAAAGCACAGCACAGATGTTTCATTTAGACCACAGGGGACTGTTTGAAAAGGTGGAGGAGGGGGATATATGTCCTCTTTAAATCCTAAATATCAAACATGTTTGATATAAATAGGGGCTGCTCTGATGCAGATCGATCTTTATACTAATCGGTTGTGAGCAGCTTTGAGTCAGGAACACCCTTGGATTGTTGGTGAAGGGGAACAGACCTCATGTGGGCCTGATTATCCTGTAGTCTGAGCCAGGCCTAATGTGTACAAATCACTCTCCTTTCACAGATAACTTCATGGCAAAGTCAGCAGCCACATGTTAATGTGCTGCTAGTTTTTTTTCTTCAACGTTCACACAATCAGAAGTTCAAAGATTTCTGCAAACAAATGTCATCATCAACCTTTATTTTAGTTCTCGGAGAGATCATTGAGGGCGACCCTCATTTACAATGATGCTGAGAAAACATACATAAATAATAAACAACGAGAAATGAGATAAAGCTACTACAGAAAATAATATCAATAAAAGAGCAATAAGAACAATAAAATATATACACTAATGTAATTTAAAAGCTTGAAATTACTACAGTGATAAGTCAATCATTAAAATCAAATAAAACAGTTACAGTCAGGTATTGGGCGGTTAAAAATAATATTTCTAAAGAGAATTGACCCGTAAAAAATGTTTTCCCTCGCAGGTCAGAAATCAGTTTGTTTTGACAGTTTTCACCTGCTGGATGTTTCAGACTACACCTCTTCAAAAGCTCAACAGATGATCTGATTTCATCTCTCCCCCTCAGCAACACTTTCTTTTCTTTTCTCCCTGAACTAAAAAAGTAGGGTTATAGATTTTCCTGGTGTGATCGCCCCTGGTGTCTAACTCTCCCTTTGTGTTTCCTCTCTCTCTCTGTTCAGAACCTGACAGCACAGAACGGGAACTCTCCGAGCGGCACGGTGGTATAGCTGGAGGAGAAGCTTTGCACTCTCCCCTCCCTCCCTCCCTCCCTCTGTCTCCTCCTCCCTCGTCCTTCATCTTCTCACAGTCCAACAAAGTCTCCAGTGATCCTCAAACATGTCGAATTAGGGGCCAAAAACCTGGAGACCGTCCTCTACCTACCACTTCAGTATTATCCCATCAGTATAACCCTCTGTACGCCATGACCCCGATCACAGCGGACTTTACTCTCATGGCGGCTCGATCAGTGGGAAACACTTCCTGAATTATTCACATGTATAAATAAAAACAATACTTCAACATATTTATAACTTTTACAGAGTTAGCTGGACTTAAATATGCTTAGATCTATTAAAGATGCTATCTAGCTAGCATACTAGCAATATGTTATTCTTTTTTATGTATAGGAGCCTGACCAATAAAAGTATAACTGGTCAAAGTGAGAGGATTTTAATGGGCACCTACCAACCTTTTAGAAACAACTTTGATGCAACATCAGATTTAAAGGCTTTATCTGTGATTTTTCACACTTAAATAGAAATCAAGTATCTCCTCTGAAAATAACTCTGTGAGTCATGACTGTCTACAATGGGTGTAACACCCGAGTCCCACTGTCTGTGATGTTTTCAGAGTTTTCAGAGTCCTATCTTCAGTTTGTTTACATCGCCAGGACGGCCGGCTGACTCCTCCCCTCGAGTATAAAAGTTGTTTAATTGAGGGACTAGAGAAAAGAAGAATAACATACTGTACTCACTGCTTAACTGTGTTTCTAGATCACGCTCATTTCAGGTAAATTTACATGCAGTGTGAAGATACCAGCATAATAAAGATCACTAGCATTAGCATGCTAACACAACAATGCAGCGCCAGTTGTTTTGGTTTCATGCTGGTGCTCAAGGGCGACATCTGCTGGATCAAAAAATCACATATAAAGCCTTTAAAGGATAAAAAAATGTGTCCATTATCTCTTCAGGAACAAACCTGAAATGCTAAGTGTCTGATTCCTGATGTTCTCATGGTGCTTAGGACAGAGCAACACGTGGATATGGTTCAGGGAGGGTTTCCCACCTCGTGCCACTGTGGGAATAAAGTTCACTCCCAGTGCGTCGGCCCCTCTGCCTTCACTACACGCCTCCTCCGTATTTCTCTGCAGAAACGACTGCATCAGACAGGCAGAGGTCGTTTTATCCTCTCCGTCTGCAAAACCCTGAAGGAGCGAAACATTCGGCCTTCACCCCATCCCTCCTGTCTTAACCCTTCATGCAAAGACACTGCAAAAAGCCACGGCCGTTCTATTTAAGTTATTTATTTTATCACGAGACTGTGTAGTAATTTATAATGTAAATACTGAAAATACTCTATAAATACAAAATGGACAAATGTGTATGGAAACAAAGACTTGGCAGCAAGGAAGAGAAGAAAAAAAAGAGAGGAGAGAAGAAGAATATTAATATATGAAGATCCTTCTATTGTACATAGCAACCACAGTTAAAAAATTGAATGTCTGCCGTTTTAGGGAACTTGAAGATGTCAATGTGTTTTTATTTTGTGTGATAGAGGTTCTCCAGTTTGTCCCTGCGAGCGCGTGAGGTTTAACGCATTTTGGGTCCAGAGTAACTTTTCAGACGAGCTGAGTCGAGCACAGAGAGCAACATTCAAAAAGTGGCTGCTGGCTGTACATCTGAGCTGAAGTTAATATGTCTGAATGATCATATTTCTGCTGAATATCAAGTGCAGACAAAACAGCATCTTAATGAATAACCTGCTCATGAACAAACAAACACACACTCGTGCACATTCCTAACACACACACACACCTACACACACACACACAATCATGTCATGGTGTAGCATCTTGTATTCTGTGTCTTGGACTCCATGTTGCACCTGAATTGCCTCTTGCAAGAATTTGCACATACAATAACTCCACAGTCCATCCTGAGCTGGGTCCGGTTTAAAGACCTCTGTGCAGAAACAGCTCCTACGACTCATCATTCACTGGGTATGTTTCGATTCAGAGGATTGAAAACTTGTAGGTTCTTTCTTATTTTGCATCCTTTTTTTTAAGAATAGGAATTCTCCCTCTTGTACAGAAGCCATGAGAGAACATATGCAGCTCTTTTGTTCCCCTTTTTTAATTTCCTTGCTTTATTCTTTTGGGAAACAAAAACACGTTTGCCAAATTTCACAGTAGAAAGTACCAACAATGAATGTGCTTCATTGAAATACTGCTTGCAGGCTGTTAAAACCAAGAGGCAAGCTCCAATGTTGACAAGCGAAGCTGATGCACCAGTGCAAAAAACTGTAGTTCCCCGAGTGTCCACTTGAAGCAGGCTCCAAAAACAAATGTTTGTATCCTGGCCTGAAAAACTCCTCCAGTCCCATAGCTCCTCTCTGCACTGGAAAAAATGACAAGGAGTCGACCCTTCTAAATCTCATCTGTCCAGACCATATCAAGACCATATCATAGGGTGTGGCCTAACTGACTGACAGGCGGACCTGCTTCTACTTCCCCACTCTCGCCACATGTTGTTACTGACCCCAAAAATCAGTTTAAATGTATTTCACTCCTTGTTTTAAGACTCGACAGGTGAAAACTGTTTTTTTCCAGGATTATTTTGTTTGCAACTTTTACTTCTTTTTCTTTTACTCTTCAAAAAACTGGCTGTTTGTTGTTGTTAAACTAATTTTGGCACCTGAGATATGTCACATTTCTTTGTGTAAACTCCTTTTTTCTCCTTCCTGTTTTTTTAAAACACGATGCATATGTGATGATCGGTCCAAAAAATGCTTCCAGGCATGTTAAATAACAATAATGTGTTGAACCCATATCTGATTCTTAATGGCGCTAACCTGTTTCTGATTATCAACACACCATCTCTGTCCTCTTCTAGAAAACGTCGACTGAAGAGACAAAGTTCTGCATGATGTTTTCCTTTTACACGTGCCTCTTCCTCTTGGCTATAACAACCTACTGACTGTCTGTACATGTATGTTCAGAGCCAGTGGAAGGCTTATGGTGCAGCGGCCCAGCAGTATTTATAATCGCCCTTTATGTCAGGAACTTTTTTGTGCCACCTATCTGACAGTCGCTTGCTATAAATAGCAAGAGAGAAAAACATCCAGGATTGCAGGAGCCAAGGTTACACCCTTGTTTCTCTGCACTGTGTGTGTGTGGGTTATTGTTGCAGGCAGCCCATATATACTCAGCCCCGTTGTCATAGCAACAGCATGACTCGCTGAGCAAATCTTGAATGAGCTCATGAGCTGCGGGGTCAACCTCAGCATTAGGGCTAAATTAATGCTTCACCACCACCAACGTCTGAGAGGGAAAAACCACATCTGCTGTCGTTGGGATCGAGTAAATAATTCATCAACGATTTGATCAAATGCTCCTAAAACATCTTCACTGAACACAGACACATTTAAAAGTTTACATTTCTGCAGACAGATTGTGCAGCTTTCTTTCATAAACAAATATAACCTCTATCAGATTGCTCGTTTTGTTTTTGGTGAAGCGTCCTTGGGTCCCTTAAAGGGTACTCTTTAAATCCAGTCAATTATAATTTTATTATTTTTCCTGTGAAGTTAAAAAACAGATTTTTTTTTTGTTCTTCATTCTGTGATATTAACTCACACACCTGATCTTAGTCTGGAGCAAACTTTCCTCCTTCCATGAGGAGACACAGACGAGCGTGAAGAACACACTTCTCTTTGCCACTAAACACCTGTAGTTAAATCCACGTCTCCCCTCTTCTATTTGCTGCGTCTATGAGCAGAAAGTACAAAATAAAACTAAAAGAAAAAAAAAGAAATGAGCCGAGACAATGTTCAAGAATAACCTCAGAATCCACACTTTCCTCTTTGAGTCTCGTTCTGCACAAAAAACTTCTCAAACCTTTCAGCACCACGGGAACAAAAGTCACTCCAGACACAGTTATGTTGTTCAGTTTGTTTTCATTTTTATTGTTTTATTTCAAATCTATTTTTCACTTTTTTTTAAGAGTGCATGTGTGTACGTCTCTCTACACTATCACCACACAGTTAACACACACACACACACACACACACACACCATATCATCACTAACGCTTTCACAAACCTTATGCCTGATCCGGTGGAGGTAAAAGGCAGAATGACGTCACTGTTTGTATATGGAGATCTGTTATTAAAACGTTAAACCTGAAACAACTGTGTGTGTGTATTCCTGTAGGTGTGTGTATTCCTGTGTGTGTGTGTGTGTGTGTGTGTGTGTGTGTGTGTGTGTGTGTGTGTGTGTGTGAGTGAGTGAGTGAATAAATTCAGATACCACTTGCATGTCTATCTCTCACTGGTGACCGGTAGAGGGCGCCAGAGACAGACACACACATACACACACACACACACACACACACACACACACACACACACTGAGTCTCACTTCCTCTCTGCGCCGGTGGAAGAAGAAAACGACGATTTCCGCCGAGAAACGACGGAAGTTGTCGAAGTGCCGCGGGGTGAGGCGGGCCGGACGGATGACGTCATGCTGGGGGACACGCAACCGGAAATGAACACATGAATAAAAGCTGTGATATTTATTTTATCTCCTACTTTTTTTTTTTTTTTATTCCTAACCCATCACCGTAACCCTCCTGTCGGGATACTGACTCAATATTTATATATCTCTTCATTAACTTTTAAACACTTTTAAACACTCAAACAGATGCAAGTTAACATCATTTTAAAACTCAAAACAAACTGACATCCAAACACTGATTGATACGACGGAGGATTAGGGCCATGTTAAATATATATATATATATTTAACATGGCCCTAATCCTCCTCCGTCGTAGGATTGACACTTAAAAGAGAGGTTTATTTTTTAAAGTATGTGTGATAAAACAAAGTTCTTTCTGTGAAAGAGTATGTGTGTGGACCATAGACTGTAAATATTACATATTATATTATTATTACATATATTATAGGTGTAGACAACACATTTAAAGGTATGGATAGAATCTGATACCTCCAAAACTGTCCCGCTCTCACAGGGACCTTTACTTTGAAATTGAGCGGAAGTGGAATGTTTCTGACAGCTTTGGACTTGACAGCTGAGGGGGGTTTGGTTGCTCCGGTTTTGTCACCAGCAACAAAAATAAAAAGGGAGAGGCGCAGCTCGGATTGTAGGTCAAACATGGACGAGAGAGAGGACATCGTCCCGGTGAAACGGTGAGAGACCGCTTTAATCATTCACCTGCTTTAATCCGAGATTCATTATCAGTCCACTTTAAGACCCGAGTCCAGCTGAAGCAAAGACAATGAACCTGAGACTGAGCTCAGAATGCAAACGTGGATGTGTGTGTGTGTTTGGTGTTCTGCTTCCTGTTTAGTGTGAAATCTCTGCAGAAGAAAAGATTTTTAGAGGGAATTGTTATCTTTGCATATGTTTGAATATGAGGCTGTGACTCTCTGTGACTCTCTGTGGTGAGTTCACATTAAAGGAAACATGATTTCTGGTTTATTTTTGAATCAGAAGTGATATTCCTGCAGCATCGATCAGCTGTGATGAAGTGTTCTTGATGTTTCTCCTC